TAACATCAACTGGCTGAAAGACGAAAAATATAATATATCTGGCACTTTATCAGTGAACAGAAAGTAACGTAGTTATACTACAGAGGATGTTGATTCTATTTCCCTTGCTCTAGATGGATGAAATGCAAAGAAATTCCAACGTGGTTAATCTAAAACTATAATATGCCATACAAACATCAAGATTTCTGTGAGTTAAAGCGTACACTTCCTCTTTGAAACTCTCAAATAGTTTGAACTTTGAACACTGAAAATTGCGTTGCCCAGAAACAAAATTATTTATGTTAACCATCTCGTCTAAGTGCATAAACCCTTAGAGATGGGGCAAATTAATTTATTTAAATACAGATATCAACATGACCGCTTCATGTGCAGGCCGAAATCATAAAGCCTTGCATCTGCGCAATTTTTACAAACAAGTGCAATGAGACTTGAACCTTGGTCCTCTGCTAGACTCTAATACATTTTAGTCACCTCATTTAAAAGTTTAAGCCATTATAGAAAAGTTTTCAAAACTTATGTACACAGAACAATACTAATAAATGGAAACACTAGGCCTCTAGCAGATTACAAAATAGTGATGTAGATGTTTTATCATTTTTTCTGTTGCATTATGGGGTGAATCTCTTAAAGTAGATTTTGCACAATCAATTTTTTACAGAATGTTATTAACGCATTGCAATCACATTCAGACAATATATTACATCAACTCTAAGAAGAGCATAATAAAATTCCCAAGATTTTAAGTATATAATCATCAATCATAACTAAACTTCCAAGCAACAAGGCTTCTTCTACTATGAGTCCGTAAAGGCCTAAGTTTAGTGATACACACAAACAAAGCTAAGTTTTCCGATTTTTCAAAAAGAACATGAAACTTGAAAACTTTGATCTACAGGTTACATCTAAGTTCTTTTATACATCAAAATTAAAAGACTAATTGGAACTTTTCTTCCTTTTTGCACAGAATATAATTAAAAGCACTCAAAGATCAAAACCCGCAAAGGAGAACCCGAAAAATAAAATATCAATACTGATTAATGAAAAAATCGGATAAAAGGCAAAAATAAATATCTTTATCTCTGAAAACATACATAACTGATATATCTTTCTTTTATTTTATTTTCTTTTATTTTCTTTTCATTTTTATTTTGGCACAGAAACACAGTTAAAGGTACTCTCAGATCATAACCCACAAAGGAAAAACCCTAATAACTAAATTCCAATATTATTAAAAGAAATTATCGTTAAAAAAGGAATCTTTACCTCTGTTCTTGATCTTCGTTCGCAGAACTTGACATTTTTTTAGCTCTTTCAACTTCTGTGATAAGTGAAAGCTACGCTGCATAAAAAAGATAGAACAAGATTTAAAGACCAGACAAAGCAAAATCGAATCCCACACAACGCTCAATTAATGTATACTTGAGAATACATAAAAAGGCCTTAAAATTGGGGGAAAAATAAAAAACCAGGGAATCATAATTTTTTATTCAGACCCTTCTGCCTTAAGAAGTACGCTGACTGGTGACTTTAGTTGAATCCCAGGACTTGAAGTCAACGCTTTCAATTCTTAGGTAAAATTTCCTCTCTTTTGCGCGTGAGACTGGGACTGGACACGGTTCCGTTTTAACGACAATGGAATCAAATTCTGGATATTTTAATTTAATAAGTGGAACATCGTGTCCAAAATTAATTATGAAATCGTTCGGATTCAGTTCAGTTCAGTTCGATTCGAATCCATTTGATTCCCATGTTTCATATTATAATTAAATTTTTTTATATTTACAAAGTTACATTAAGCCTTTGTTTGAGCCTCATTTTTCTCAAAATTTATTTTTTCAAAATTCATTTTCAACCACACATTTTTCAATAAAATAATTGTACACGCAAATCCAAATCTTTTTCTTAATTTTTAACCACACATTCTCCATCAATTACTATTTAAAAATGCATTCTTTCTCTTAATTCAACTAATAATATATTTAATCTTAGCTCTTACAAAAAAAAAAAAAAAAAAAACTTAGCACAATTTTATGTGTCTATTGCGTCTCTCTTTACTGAATTATTTATAAATTTGATTGTTAAAGTCACATGAAGCGAAAGATAACGAATTCAAAATAATTAAGCAATGCATTGTTGAGCTTCAATTCAATTTTTCCAATATGGTAGAAATGGTACTACGGTAGAGTAACAGATTTGAATAAAAACTTAGGTCAATTTAATTAAATTGGCTTTAAACTGAAAATTAGAAATATAAAAATCATATTTTTGAATTTGAACTAAATTAACTAGTTAGCAAAATTATTTAGAAAAAATAAAATAAAATAACTTATTTAAATAAATTAATTAAAAAATTAGGAAGATTTGATTTTTCGATTCTTAATCTAAAATCGAGAATCGAACCGAACCAATTGATTCTTGATTCAAGTATCCGTTTGAGTATTTAACTTAAAAATAACTGTTCGATTCGATTCGAGAGTTTTGTCCGACCCTACGTGAGATCGTGTGTTTTCTCGAGGGTAGTTTGAGACTGAAAGGAAGCTTCTGATTTACGACAAGGGAAATGCCCAAAGATGACACATTTCACATTTGCAAGAACACTATGATATTGGAAAACATTGCATTTTGGTCCTTGAATCTTATTCGGGCTTTAATGTAAGGTCTTAATATTTTTTTAACACATCGCTCTTAGCTTTTTCTTTTTATAATTTAACATTTACAAGATTCGTGATATACATGGACAGACATGAAGAAGAACAGAGGGAATTCTGACCCAAATATTGACTTTCTGAGAATGTTTGAGCCCAAGTTTTCTCCAAAAAATGCATTTTGAAATAGTGTTATGATGAAAAATGTGTGGTTAAAAAATAAGAAAAAAATTTGAGTATACATATAATATTAATTTATTGAAAAATATATAGTTGAAATAATGTTAAATCACTGTTGAAAAATGTATTTTGATAAAAAAAAAAAAAGGCTCAGATAAGGGCTTAATTATTTGTTTAATCCATTTTTTGTCAAAATGCATTTTAAGATAGTATTTTATTGAAGAATGTGCGGCTAAAAAATAAAAAAAGATTTTAAGTTTATGAGTAAAATTATTTTATTGGAGAATGTGTGGTTAAAAATGAGTTTTTGAAAAAAAAAATTAGGGGGGCCAAACATGGACTATATATTATTTTAAGAAAAGAATAAATGAAAAGGAAATAAGGAAAAAGAGGAGGAAAAAACCACCCCACTCCGTCACCTAGATTTTTTCAAAGAGTAATGCTATTCATAGTCGCTCACTATGGTAGTCATCCTACATAACATCCTGTGTATCGATTTATGATTTGATTATTAATGTGGTCGTTTTTTTGCCTCATATATCAAATCACCAACCTTCACATGTGTATCACGTAAGACGACTGCAATAATGAGTGACTGCAAATATCATGATTCTTTTCCAAATCCCAATTTGTTCTTGAATAACCTATTTATTTCATTTTAAAATCATCGTAGTTCTCTCATAATTGATTACCCGTTGGGCCCCCATTTTTTCAAATTAAAATAAGTAAAATAATATTATTTTTTTTTAAATAGAGTTTTTGAAAAAAAAAAGAAAAAATTTTCGATTTACGTATAATGTTATTTTATGAAAGATTATATAACTAAAAAGAAAAATAAAATAAAATTTAATTTGATGTGGGCCAAACGAGTACTGAAGATCAAAACTTAAATTTTTGCAAGAATTAGTCATTTTTTTTCTTTTTCTAACTAATAAAAGACTAATGCATCAGTCAAAATAGCATTTGACAGTCGAGTTAGCAAATAATTGTTTGATTCTCATTTTGTTCAAAATATATTTTTCTTTTTTTTTTCAATCACACATTCTTCATTAAAATAACATTACACGTAAATCAAAAAAAATATTTTTCAATTACACCTTTCCGATCAATATACTATCTTAAAATACATTTTTTCATAAAAATAAGGCTCAAACACCCTCTAATTTAATGATCATCTCGCATATTTCATATTAAAATTAACATACACTCGTGCACGAACAAGAATACGGCCTCATTATTCCCCCATTAATTGATAATTAATTTTTCTCTCTTTTTATGAATCACACATTTTCTAATAAAATAATATTAAATGTAAATTTATAAACTTTTCCTTCCTTTTTAATCACACATTTTTCAAAAAAATTACTATTCATCTCATTATAACGTAGAATAATGGAGGCCAAACAGGCTATAAGAGTATAATTACAGTGTAAGTTGAACCACCAAATTCACAAATGTAATGGTAAACTCCAGAAAGAAACTGAAAGCCCCCTCCAATCCTAAATTATCTCTGGAAAAATAAATAAAAATTCTCAAAAACAAGAACCATTCAAAAATAAATATCATCCAGAAACTATATTAATCCAGTCATCTACGCGTTGTCTAAGTTCTTACATGACCAAGTAAATTATCCCTTAGTCATGCAAGAAATTATTGCTTCTGCTTGTACTTCAAGCTGTTCAAAACCTATAAATATTTCCAATCAGTTCTGCATCAAACATATATTCATATATCACTTCCAAAATTCTTTTTTCAGGTATACAAATTCTTCTTTTTCTGAAATTTCTGAAGAACAATCATGTCCATAGATGACTTTCGTGGTGGACTTGAGCAAAAGAATTTTTCCTACGAGGAATCAAACATCGGCGTTGATTCATATCCGGACTGGGGAAAGGAATTTTCAGCATACACAAGCGAATTGTACGGAGAAGATTTTGGAGAAAAAAATCATCGATCATGTATGATTCGTTGGAAATCTGGGAGAAGTGTTGATCCGAGGCTGCTGACGCTGCTAGAATCTTTCAGGGAAATTTATGATAAAAGACGTGATTTTTTCAAGAAAATTTTCCCAAAAAGTCAAGAAGATTTTGTGGATGTGTTTAAGAAAACTAGTACTGCTTCGAGGAAGAATAAAGAGGTGAGAAGTTTTCGAACCATTGGTCGGAGCCTTAGCCTCGGCTCACGAAGGCCTCAGCGGTTCAAAGTGCGTACTCCAAACGTGATTGTGGTGGCCGGAGGCGATGGAAAGGGTGATCAAATTCAGGGTGAAACTGCCTCCAAAACTTCAAACCGATGATTTTTATTATGACGCTGGTTGACGGATGTGTAAAATCGTAAGACCACGAACGAAATATTGTTTTTCAATAGAGGGTGGTTTTACTTTTATCTAGAGACAAACCAAAGGGACCAGTGTGGTACATTTCAATTGGCTTCGAAAGGTCAAACTGAATCAGTTGGATAGATGACTATTGGCTTTGAAATTTCCTAGTCTCGGGTCCTATTTCCTAACGGGTATTTGTGGGATGCATGTGCTGTAAAGGTTTTGGAAGAGACGATACAAAGGTGGCTTCACAATTTTTTGTTCCTTTTTTTATGAAAGAATTTATTGATAGAAAGAAAGAAGTTAGAGATTCGCACATTGGAATTAGGTCTATAAAACATTGATTTTGTGTTAACATAGGTCATGTATTCAGATAGGTTCCAGTAGTCAATTCACGCTTATAAATAGATTAACTTGTTCTACTTGTTGAGTAGAAGATCGTGGTATATTTCAATTTACAAAATCAATTCCGGATAAATGAAAAATTGATATCAAAAGTTAGGTTGAAAATAGAGGAAAATTGGCCGTACAACTTGACACCTTGTGCACAACGAGTAGGGATGGCAAAAAGCCCGCCCCGAACGGGTTGACGGGGAGGGCAGGGCAAGGCGCCCCATCGCCCCCGCCCCGTGAAGATAAAAAAAATAATAATAATAATAAAATAAATTTTATTTCTAGATAATTTACCCGCTAAAGACATATTTTAAATTTTTATTATAATATAACTCGAAATTTTGAAAATGTAAAAAATAAAAATAAAAATAAAAATTAAACGGAGCAAAAAGTTGCCTCGCCCCGTCTAAGGCGAGGTGGTGTAGGATTTTGGCGAGCCCCACCCCGATGCCATCTCTAACAGCGAGCAGCCAAGTTTCTGGAAAAAGATACTCGAACGATGGATCAGGGGCCCAATAAATTATGTTTAGAGAAAATTCATATCTAAGAGTTTAATTATAACTCATTTCAAAAATAAGAAATAAAGTTTAAAACCTCAAAAATCAAATTTTATTAAATTTTATTTAAGAAATTATTAATTAAAAAATATTTTATTAATTAAATATATTAAGGTCATAAATTTATACAATTTGATTACAAATTATCGAATTACTTGGTTACAAATTATTTTCAGGATCACAAATCAAAAATTTTATAGATCACAAAATATTGCTCTGTCACGAATTAAAAAAATTTATAGGTTACAAATTATTCTCAATCTTAGATAAAAAAAAAATTTAGGTCACAATTTATTCATCAATTACAAATTTTATAAGTTACAACTTATTTAAAGATCACAAATTATCAAATGAATCGATCACAGCTCAGCAAACTGTGAGTCACAATCACATTTTTTGAATCACTTATTATTTATTGATTTCTAATTAATCGATTTATTGGTCACAATCAACAAAATTATTGGTCACAAATTATTTGTGATTATAATCAATCAAATAATTAGTTACAAACACTCTCCATTCCCAA